CATCGTCATCATCATCATCATCATCTTCATCAACAACATCTTCATCATCATCATCATCCGAATCATCGACATCCGAGTTATCATCCTCATTATCATCATCATCCAAATCATCATCATCATCATCATCGTCATCATCATTATCATAATCATCATCATCATGATCATGATCATCATCATCATCATCCGAATCTTCATCATCATCATCATGATCCTCATCATCATCGCATCATCTTTATACGAATCATCATCATCATCATCATGATCAAACGAAATATCATCATCATCATCCGAATCATCATTATCCGAATCACCATCAGAATCAACATCATCTTCATCATCATCCGAATTTTCATCATCATCCGAATCATCATCATCATCATCGTCAACATCATCATCATCATCGCATCATCATCATCCGAATCATCATCACCATCATGATGGTCAACCGAAACATCATCATCAGCATCCGAATCATCATCATCCGATTCGTCATCACAATCTACATCATCTTCATCATCATTCGAATCATCATCGTCATCATGATCATCATCAACCGAATCATTATCATCATCCGAATCCACACCATGATCAGCATCATATTCATCATCATCATCATCATCGCATCATCATCATCCGAATCATCATCATCATCATCATGATCAAACGAAACATCATCATCATCATCCGAAACATCATCACTCGAATCACCATCAGAATCAAAATCATCTTCATCATCATCCGAATTTTCATCACATCATCATCATCATCATCGTCATCGTCCGAATCGTCATCATCATCATCATCATTAGAATCATCGTCGTGGTCATCGTCATCATGATCATCATCGTCATTCTAATCATCATCATCATCATCATCATCATCATCATCATCATCATCATCATCATCATCATCATCATCCGAATCATCATCATCATCATCATCATCATCATCATCATCATCATCATCATCATCATCATCATTATCATAAACATCCCAATCATCATAATTTTCATCATCATCGTCATCATCATCATCATCAACATCGTCAGCATCATAGGTGGAATCATCATTAACATGATCATTGAAATCAACTGCATCATCATCATCATCATCATCATCATCATCACCATCGTCATCATCATCATCATCATCATGGTCATCATCATGATCATCATCATCATCATTATCATTATCATTATCATCTTCATCATCATCATCTTCATCATCATCATCCGAATCGTCATCAGCATCATCCGAATAATTATCATCCTCATCATCGTAATGTTCATCATCATCATCGTCATCATTATCATCATCTTCATCCGAGTCATTATCATCATCATCATTATCATCACCATCATCATTGTCGTCATAATCATCGTCATCATCATCATCATCTTCCTCATAATCATCGTCATCCGAATCGTCATCATCATCATCGTCAACATCATCATCATCATCATCATCATCATCATCATCATCGTCGTCGTGATCACCGTTATCATCATCATCATTATCATATTCATCCGAATCATTACAATCGTCGTCGTCATCATCATCATCATCATCATCATCATCATCATCATCATGAACATCATTGAAGTCATCATTCTCATCATCATTGAAATCAACACCATCATAATCATCCTAATCCAAATCATCTTCATTATCCGAATCATCGTCATCATCATCATAATCGTCATCTTCAGTTTGATCATGTTCATAATCATCATCACCATCATCATGATCATCGTCATCATTATCGTCATCATCATCGTCATCGTCATCATCAGCATCATCATCATCCGAATCATCATAATCATCATTATCCGAATCATCATCATCATCCGAATCATCATCATTATCATGATCATCATCATCATCATGGTCCAAGTCATCATCATTGTCAGAATAATCATCACCATCATCATCATCATCCACCTCAACATCATTATCATCATCATCATCATCATCAGAATCATCATCATCATCATCAACATCATCATCTTCATCATGATCATCATTGTCATCATCATCATCATCATCATGATCGTCATCATCATCATCATCCAAAACATCATCATCTTCATCAACTGCATCCTCATCACATCATCATCATCATCATCCGAATCATCGTCACATCATCATCATCATTATCATCATCATCAACATCATGTTCATAAACATCATCATCATCATCATCACCATCATCATCATCATCATCATCATCATCATCACAATCATCGTCATCATCATCCGAATCATCATCATCATCCAAATCGACACCATCAACCGAATCATCATCATTATCATCATGGTCAAACGAAACATCATCATCAGCATCCTAATCATCATCAGCCGAATCATCATCATCATCATCATCGTCATCAACATCATCTTCATCATCATCATCAACATCATTGTAGGCATCATTCTCATCAACATTTAAATCATCATCATCATCAGAATCATCCTAATCCAAATCAACATCATATTTAAATCATCATCATCATCAGAATCATCCTAATCCAAATCAACATCATTACCCGAATCAGCATCATCATCATCATAATCATCATCTTCATTTTGATCATGATCAACATGATCATCATCATCATCATTTTCATCATCATCATCTTCATCATCATCATCATCATCATCGTCATCGTCATCATCACCATTATCATCCTCCGAATCATCAAAATGATCATCATCCGAATCATCATCATCATCCGAATCTTCATCATCATTATGATCATCATCATCGTCATCATAATCAGAATCATCATCATCTTCATCATCATCATCATCATCATCATCATCATCATCCAAATCATCA